CTGGGCTAACATCCGTGCCCATCTTCCTCCACTTTATATGGGACGCCGCCACAGCATGGCTTGCCAAGCAGTGCACCAGTGCGTGCTGGGATCCGAACCGGCAAACCCCGGGCCGCCGCAGCGGAGCGCGCGCACTTAACCACTTGCGCCACCGGGCCGGCTCCCTAATGTGTGTTTTGTCTTAGTTTTTAACAAAAAAGTTTAGAAAGTAAAAAAAAAATTAAAAATAGAAAAAAGATAGAATAAGGATATAAAGAAAGAAAATATTTTTGTACAACTGTACAATGTGCTTGTGTTTTAAGCTGTTATTACAAAAAAGTCAAAAAGTTAAAAAAATTAAAAATTTACAAAGTAAAAAAGTTACAGTAAGCTAAGATTAATTTATTATTGAAAAAAATATTTTTTTAATAAATTTAGTATAGTCTAAGTGCAGTGTTTATAAAGTTTACAGTAGCATATGGTAACGTCCTAGGCCTTCATGTTCACTCACCACTCACTCACTGACTCACCCAGAGCAACTTCCATCCTGCAAGCTCCGTTCATGTAAGTGCCCTATACAGGTGTCCCATTTTTTATCTTTTATATCATATTTTTACTGTACCTTTTCTATGTTTAGATATGTTTACATATACAAATACCATTGTGCCACAGTTGCCTACAGGATTCAGTACAGTAACATGCCGTACAGGTTTGTAGCCTGGGACCAATAGGCTATGGCATACAGCCTAGGTGTGTGGTAGGCTATACCACCTAGGTTTGTGTAAGTACACTCTGTGATGTTCACACAATGATGAAATCGCCTAACGACACATTTCTCAGAACGTATCCCGTCATTGAGCGACACACGACTGTAACATCAATGGCTGTTTTTGATGCTACAGTAAGTTTGGAAGCATTCCCGTCTCCTTTATTTTCTGAAGGGATGTGTTTAGGATTGTTATTATTTCTTCTCTTGTCTTTTATCTTTTGGAAGAGTTTCTGTAGAAATGGTATTATCACTTTCTTAAATGTTTGAGAGAATTAACCAGTGAAGCTGTCTGGGCCTAATGATTTCTTTGTGAGAAGGTTTTTAAACTACAAATTCAATTCCTTTAATAAATAAAGAACTATTCATATTACCTATTTCTTCTTGAGTAAGCTTTGGTAGTTTACGTCTCTCAAGGAATTTTTCCATTTCATCTAAGTTATATAATTTATTGGCATAAGTTGCTAATATTATTCCTTTATCTTTTTAATGTCTTTAGGTTCTGTAGTGACATCCCCTCTTTTATTGCTGATATTGGTAATTGTGTCTTCCCTTTTTCCCTCATCATTCTGGCTAGAGATTTATCAATTTTATCAATCTTTCTAAATAATCAGTTTTTGGTTTCATCATTTTCTCTCTTTTCCTTTTGAATTTTCTGTTCCACTGATTTATACTCTTCTCTCTATTTTCTTCCTTCTGCTTACTTTGTGCTTAATTTGCTCTTCTTTTCATACTTTATTAAGGTGGAAGTTTAGATAATTGACTTGAATCCATCTTTTCTAATATAATCATGTAAGGCTGTAAATTTCCCTCTAAGCATTGCTTTAGCTGAATCCCACAAATATTGATTTGTCGAATTTTTATTTTTGTTCAGTTGAAAATATTTAATAATTTTCCTTGTGATTTTGTCTTTGACCCCTGGGCTACTTAATAGTATGTTATTTAATTTCCAAATATTTGGGATTTTCTAGACATCTTTATGTCCACCTGTTCCACTACATCCTTTAACATATTCATCACAGTTATCTTAAAGTCCCTATCTGAGAGTTCCAACATTTGGGCCATCTCTGGGTCTGCTTCTGTTGCCTCTTTTATCTCTTGACAGTGGATCTTTTCTTTCTCTTGATTTTATGTGTGTGTTATAATCTTTGATTGAATACCAGGCATTGTGTGTAAAAGAACAGTTGCGAGTGAGGTAAATGATATTTATGCCTAGAAGTGGGCGTATTTCTTATGTCACGGCTTTAGTTTAGGGCGTTGAGTCAATCTAGTCTGTAGCTGATTTGGGTCTAGGTTTTGTTGCCGTAGATACCTTCTGTGCACCACAGGCTTCAAATTTCTCCCATGGTGGACTGCCACTCTTTTGTGCTTAGTCCCACGGGGATTTTCCCAGTATTCCTGCTCCATGCTCAGCTTTGCATGCAACACAGAGGGACTCTCTCTTTGTGTTCTAGCCCCTCTGGCAGTGGTAAACTGCTGGTTCTTGTTCCTTGGTGCAACGTTTGTGGTAGAGGCAGTGGATTCTTGGTTCTCTTGCTCTAGCCTCAGCCCCTTGTGCCTGAGCCCCAGGAGAGGGGTTTTCTTAGTTTTCCTGCTTCTCCTCCAGTGACTGACAACCTCTGCCTCTCATTCGGTGCAGGTACTAGAGTGCAGACAGACTTCCTGCCCTTTGCCCCCATGAGAGCCAAACTCAGTGTGTTGGTAGAGGGGTCCTGGGTGTGGATGAGGTTCCTGCCTTTCCCCCGGCGGTGGCAGCAGCAGGCCTCTGCTTTATATTGGCGCAGCATCCTGGGCAGTGGGTTTCCTGCTCTTTGCCAGTGGCAGACGGCTTTAGTCTAGTGTCAGCGTGGGGTAGGGAGTTGGTGGGCTTCTTACTCGTCCACCAGAGGCAGCAGACCTTGGCCTGGTAGCAGGTCAGGGACCTGTGGGGTGGGGGTCTCACATCAGAGCAAGGCCAGGGTGCAGATGTCTGTCTCTCAGTAGCAACCAGTCCCCACTTTGTACTCCTGCCTGGCCCAGAGCTCAGACAGGCTTCTCCAAGTACTCCTGCTGCACCTCGAACCCTGGCAGGTCCTGTGTGCCTGTGTCACACAGGGACTCTCTCAGGTCCCTGCCCCACCCCCGTCATTCTCATGGGCACCCAGCAGGGGACTGTGGGGGAAGCTGTTGAGTGGGTACAGACTCCCCTGGTGTCTGGGGCTCTCAGGGGATTTAAACTGTTCCTCTAGTTCACACTCAGCCTTCAAGAACTCATTATGAGTTTTCTTCTTGTCTGCTTTTGTGGCAACCACCCCTTCCTCCTATGTTCTGTCAAAGGTTCATCCTCAAAGGGCTTATCAACCATCGGAAATCGGTTTATTTGGTTACCTGTGACCTCAGCTCTCTAATGGGTTCAGAAAATTGATGTTGTACATTATTTGGCTCTTTCCATTGTCGTGATGGAAGTGATGTTCTTTTGTGGTTCTCTACATCATAAGTGGAAATCGAAATCATTTTAATACAGTTTTTACACAATTAAAAAGATAAGTCTCCCATTCAGTGTATCTCTTATGACTATATAAATTTATTCCGTATGAAGTCAATTTGTGTAGCGAGATTATATTTTCTTTCTTGTACAACTTGCTTTTCCTGAAACTAATTGCCTCTCTTTATTTTTCATTTGCAAGCTTTCTGTGAGACATGTCTCAAAATAATGTTTCTACGTGTTCAAACCTGTCAGATAGTCTGTATATTCTCTTCGTCCTCCTCCTCCTCCTTTTACTCATCAAGACCTCCCTCCTGGAGCCTTCTTTTCTCCCGCTGCCTTCTGAACAGGATGTGCCTTAGTTCCTCTGCCCAGGACTTCTCGGCCTTCTTTTCACTCATTTTCTGGGAAGTAACTTCACCTCTCCTCTGGTGGGGTTTCCTGTACCCTGTGTCTTCGCTCTTGATTTACACCCTCATTTTGTTGGAGCGCATCCTCCAGCAGCTTTCTGAGAGAGGGTGTATGTTTTAAAATACGTGGTGATCCTTGTTTGACCATTCATCTTTTAAGAGTGGAGCACTAAAAAACTTAGTTGCTTGACAGGGCTTGGTGAGTGGTGAAGCTTCACCGTGAGTTTGGTCTTGGCCATTTCTTTGAGGAACACCAAAACATGAGTAGCTATATGGACCAAGAAATGATCCAGTTCTCCAGAGAAGAATTTCCTCCTGCCTTGGGGCATCATCACTTGGCTGCTGCAGCCTTCTGGAAGCTGAGTGGAGGAGGAGGTGGGGAGGGGATCCGGCTTGATTTTCCTAAACCAGAACGGCACCCCACCCTTCCCCTCAGATTCTCCATGGTGCACCATCTCCAGAGAACGAGCTTTGTGTTGGGTGGGGTTGAGGCTGGTGGCATGGTGTGGAATGTTCCTGGATACCCCAGGGGGCAGAGGAGATCTGAGGACCCAGCTGGTCATTTTAAAGACTCACAACCAATAATCCGCCTTTTCAACCTCACCCTTCACCCCCACTTTCAGAGGTTCCTGATGCCTCCAGCTCTCAAGTTCTCCCCAGATTGTGAGGCTTGAACCGGCTGGCTTCTCCCTGTCCCCTTGCCCCCAACTCCACACCCTTCCCCACCGGGGGCACTTGGGTTCAACTTTTCCTGGTCTGCTACATTTCTTACCAGGTGGCTGCCTACTCTGCAGCCTCTGAAGTTTTGCTGACATGTCTCATGTGCCTTTGTCTTCCTTCTCGTTGTTCTTTGTGGCTTTGTGCCTGCTTTATTCACTCACTCCCGTTTTAGTGGAGTTTCAGGGGGTAGACATAAATTTGCTATATTTCAGCGGAAATTTATTAGTTCATTTTAAAACCGAGGAAAACGAGGGCGGAGAGGGGCAGATCCTTGCCCAATGTCACGCAGTGAGTGAACGACAGGGCTGGACAGGGCTACGTGCTGCTTGCCCCCAAGCGACTTCCCCCTGGGTGAGGCCAGGGCCCAGGAGAAGCCCCCAAAGGCCCGTTTTTTGGGGGGGGGTGGGGGAGTGTCTCAGGCAGACCTGCTAATGGCGGGATTACTAAATGGTCGGAGATTCTGGAGTCATAGAGACCTGGCTTCAGGTGGCCTCAAGCAGAGCAAAGCCCCTTGTTCTCTGAGCCTCAGTTTCCCCATCTGTGAAATGCAGGAGGAGTGGGGATCACATAAGATGCTGCACGTCCTCCCTTGGAGATATGCCACATGCCTAGGTTAGAAGTCACTCTTTACTATGATGACGACGGCACGCACCTTTTCCAGGGCCGGCGCCCGTCCTGGAGGAGACCGGGCGCAGGACATGGAGCACTCTGGGGCCCTTTTCCTCTGCCTGTGCCTCGTGACGTCGCAGAGCGGGACAGCGGGTAAGAGGGCTCTGCTGGCCCCGGGGGCAGTCGTGGCCCAGGCCCCTAGCTGTGATGGCAGAGGTGGAGGCCTGAGACCAAGGGAGCTTGAAAGGGGGCGCCTAGGCCTGCGGGGGCAGCCTCCGGTGAACTGGCGGTCTCAGGCTGGGGCAGAAGGCCCAGAGACGGGGGCCGCTGCGGACAGAGGCTGAGGTGGAGGTCTGCCTCCCTCCCCACAGGGGCCTCCCAAGAACCTCTGCAATGGATGCAGACGATGGAGGCGGCTGCCAGGAGCAGGAGATCGTCTTCTCATGCTGAGTGAGTTGGCTGTGCCTCCCACCCCTGCTTGTCTTTGAATCAGTGGTCCAGGGTTGGTCCAGTGTAGACCATTAATTCATTTATTCAACACGCATTTATTGAGTACCTACTGTATGCCTGGCACAAGATTCTCTCATCGAGTTTACTCTCTGGGGCAAGGGCCCTGAACCGTGGATGCCATGAAACCAGGTGCAGAGTTGTGGGTCTCTGCTGTTTTCTAGGAAGGGGCTCCAAGATGCTGGCTGGGCTCTCCAGAGTCTGTGACCCAAAGGCCAAGCAGCTCTGGTGAGAGGCCAGTGCTGATGACTGGCCATGGAAGCACAGGGACTGTGGGCACTTCACTCAGTCAGTGGGGAGTGGCCAGGGAAGGCTTCCTGGAGGAGGTGTCAACAAACTGGCCCTGAGCAAGAGTTAATCAGGAGAAGGAGGTGGGTAGGGTGAGGAAGTAAAAGTGTGCCAGGAACGCTCTGTGCAAAGGTCCAGAGGTGGGAGAGACAGGGGTGTGGCATGGGCGAGGCCCTGCCCTCCCAGGCTGTCTGGAGCGCCTCTTGCCCCCCACCCACCCGGCTCTGGCCACCTCTCGCGCCCTTAGTTTCATCCACGGCCTGGAGTGGAGCCTGCTGAACACCAGCTTCGGGGGCCGCAACCTCACCCTGCAAACGCGCACCATCCAGTCGCTGGCCTTCAAGCTGGGCTGTGACTTCGCCGGCCTCTCGCTGAGCAGCGCTGCCCTGGAGCGGGTCCCCCAGGTCAGAGGCGGCCAGCGGCCGATGTAGCCAGTGCCACCACCCCAGAAACCCTCCAGGGGTGTAAGGTCAGGAGTCCCCCAGGCTCCCTGGCCCCCCCGCCCCCCACAAATCCGGGGTCTGACCTAACTAGCTGTGAGTCGTCTCCCCTGTAAAACGGGGCTGATGTTCCTCATGGAAATGATGGGAAGGGGGGTGCTTGTGGCCCCTCAAGGGCAGCGTCCTCTTCCTGCATGTGCAGGTCCCTGGGGGGAGGCAGCAGTGGGAGAGGCCAGGGGACCCAGGCTCCTCTGAGGACCCTGGTGTGATTCCTGCTGAATGCCTGGGCGCTGGGGCTGAGCTGCCCCGTCCTCAGGGGCCCCGGTTGAGACGGGTAGAGAACCCAAACCCGAGGCCAGAGCAGCCTGGAGGGAAGGCCTGGGGTCTCAGGGAGTCCGGGAGGAGGTGCAGCCCGGGGGGAGAGGCTTCTGCAGGTGGAGGCTCCGAGGAAGGAAATGCCTGGGGTAGGGTTGGGAATTGTTCCCGGGATGCGGGGCCGTGAAGGCGTTGGGGCCGGGTCTGGCGGCCTCGGACACCAGGCTCAGCCTGTCTTTGGCCCTCCGCAAGCCCAGGCCCGGCACGCCATGCAGTTCCCGGCAGAGCTGACGCGGGGCGCCTGCAGGACCCGCCCCAGGGAGCTGCGTCTCATCTGCGTCTACTTCTTCACCACCTACTTCTTCCAGGTCAGCGCCGAGGGGGGCCAAGGAGGGCGGGCGCTCGCCCCTTCCTGGGTGCACCGCAGGCGTCCAGGCCACTGTCTGGCCTCTGGGTGGGGACCAGCACCACGCGGGACCAGCCCACTGTGCAATCTGAGCCTGCCACTGCCCCTCTCCGGGCCTCAGTTTTAGCAGAATGGTGGGGAGACGCGATTACAAGGTGCAAGTGAGACCTAAGAAACCTACTGTGTATGCGCCTCTCTGGGACACAGACAGACAGGCGAGAGACAGACAAGAAGGTCACAAGATCCCCCCCTCAGAGAACTCTCCCTATCTCGACAATTAGGCTAGAACCTTAGAGACTTACTTTTAGCTCAAGGTTGATTATAACCATAGAGATAGAAAGCGATGGATGGGTCAGGGTGGGGTTGGGGTTGTTTCCAATGAGCAGTCCAGGAGGGCTTCTGGAGAAGGTGCCTTTTAACCTGGGGTTTGAAAGTGAGTTAGGAGAGTGGTGAGGGGGAGGTGACGAGGCTGGAATGCACTAACCAAATGGGAGGTGCAGCAGGGGGCTGGTGAGGGGACAGCCTTCCAGGTGGAGGGAACAGCATATGCAAAGGCTGGGAGGCTGGCCATGCCTTACACGTGAAAGGCATCTGCTTGTTCTCCTCCAGAGAGGAGGGGCTGGAGAAGGGGGCTCTCGGACCTCATCCAGGCTCTCGTCGTGTCCCCTCCAGTCAGCCCTTCTTCCTCTGCTGTCCTTCCAGACTGACATCAACTCGTCTCTGCTCAATAACTATGTCCTGGGGGCCCAGCTGGGCCATGAACACGTGAACAACCTCAGTGAGCCGATCAACATCAGCGTCTGGCACAACCAAAGCCTGGTACTGTTGGGGGCCCCCCACTTCCACCCCACCCCTGCCCCCTTGTGGCTGTCCTGTTCAACGTTGGTTTACCCAACCCAAACCTGTGGAACCATCTTGGAAACAAACTGTTTTAAATCCATCATACTTTGAAAATTCCTGCCAAAGAAATAAGAGAGAGAAGCTTTTACTGGCTGCATTAGTCAGGATACTTTGAGTTGCACGTGATAGAAAACCAACTCAAGCCAGCTTAAGCACAAAGGGAATTTATGGGCTCATGTAAATGAAATGTCCAGGGCTGTTCTAGTTTCAGGCATGGCCAGATCCAGGGGCTGATACAATGCTATAACCACTCAGTATCTCTCCGTCTCTCAGCAATGGTTTCCTGCCTTGGCTCTCCAGTCTATCTATGGCAAGATGGCAGCCTTCTTCTCAGCAGGCTCTTTCTCACGGGTGCAAACCAGGGTCCCAGAATGGAGTCCTAGAGGTCCAGCTGGGTCACGCATCCATCCCTGAACCACCACTGTGCCCAGGGGGATGGAATATGTGGATTGGCCAGGCTGGGTCACATGGCCTGGGGCCTGGGCTAGGGTCATCTGACCCATCGTTGGGGGAGGGGTGGGTCCTCAAGGGAAGTGCAGATGCTGATACTGCAGGAAGGAAGAAGGGTGCTGGGTGGGCACAAGCCCTGAGGCCTCCGCTCCTCTGTCCTGGCATTCCTGGAAAGCCCACAGCCTCTCTGCTCTGGCCCCATCCCCCGCCAGCCTCAGCGGGGCCGCTCTGCACTCTCAGTGTCACACGGTCCTTCCCTTTCAGTCCTCCGGGCCTTTGCCCCCAGTTCCCTGGAGCATGGAATGTCCTTGCTCCGCTTCTGTTCAAATCTGACGTGTCCTCTAAGGCCCCAGTGTCCCAATCGTCCCTTCCCTCCTTAGGGCTCCTCTGCCCCTTGCTCCGTGGTTTCCACGGCACTGCCTGTGTCATTTCCCCCACAGCTCCAACCACACGGCTTGGCGTCAGGGTTGTCTGTGGATGAGTCTCTCTCTCCTCCACGGGCATCGACGGGTCTGGACCATCATTGTTCCCGACGGGGAGGAGGGGGAAGGGGACAGTCAATTATAGAGCACCTACTGTATAGGCCAGAGCCCAGCACTCAGGGTTCCTCATGGCCTTTCATTCTTCCACCATCCTTGTGACTTGGGTGTAAACGGTCCCATTTTGCAGATGAATAAACTAAGGCTCAGAGAAGCTCTGTGACTTGCCCAGGTCAGTTTCAGTGTCCATGGTGGAGGTGGGGCTGGAATCTGGGTCTGTCTGAAGCCAAAGCCCAGCCAGTGCCTGGGAAAATGTTGACAAGGGTGCGGTTGAGTCACCTTTGCCCCCACAATTTCCAGACCCTGAACCACAGCCCACCCTGGCACCTCTTGGCGACACCCAACTCTAGTATCTTCCCTTAGGAAGCCTACACGGTGACCTGTGTCTTCTGGAAGGAGGGAGCCAGCAAGCAGTACTGGGGGTTCTGGAGCCCTGAGGGCTGTCACACAGAGCAGCCCTCACCTTCCCAGGTGCTCTGCCGCTGCAACCATCTCAGCTACTTTGCTGTTCTCATGGTATGTGTGCATCCAGCCCGGGTGAGGGTGGTCAGAGCTGCAGAGGGCCCCATGTCCAGGATAGAGGAGCAAGGCAAAGGCTGGTGCAAGAGACAGAAAATTCAATTCAAATGGGCTTAAGGAAAAAAAAAAAAAGAAATTTATGGGCTCATGTTCCTGAAAAGGCTGGGTTAGGCTTCAGGCACGGCTTGATCCAGGGGCTCAATATCACTAAGACAGAACTCTACCTCTGTCTCTCAATTGTGCTTGTTCTGTGCTGGCTTAGCCTGCAGACAGGATCTCCCCACGGGATAATAATATGGCTGCCAGCAGTTCCAGGCTCATGTCCTACTAGCTTTCAGGCCAGTAGAATGAGAGCTTCTCTTACCCATTCTGCCAGCCAAAGTCTTGGGATTGAGTCTCACTGGCCGAGAATGTGTCCCATACCCGTCTCCTAACCAATCACTGTGGGCAGGAGGAGGGAGGGCTCTGAGAGGCCAGGCCTGGTGCACCTGTCCACTCAGTGGGAAAAGTGGGGGTCCACCCATGTGCACAGAGAGTGAGGGCGGGGGGGTTCTCACAGAAGAAGTGGAGGGCTCATAGAGGAAGGGGAGACGGGAGTTGGGAGGGGGCAATACCACTGTGTCTGCCATGGCTTTTTTCATGTCAGGACCATGGCTAGGATTGTGGGGCAGAGGGGCCTGGAGCTGAGGTCTTGGCAGGTCTCTGATTGAGCCTGGGCAGGGCATTTCCATGCTTCTGGCCTCCAGCCCCCCTTCCCTCCCACAGCAACTCTCCCCGGCCCCGGTCCCCGCAGAGTTGCTGGCGCCTCTCACGTACATCTCCCTCGTGGGCTGCGGCATCTCCGTCGTGACCTCGCTGCTCGCTATCCTGCTGCACTTCTATTCCAGGTATTCCCTGCCCACCCACTGCTGCTCGGCGCCTCTCCTTTCCCACTTGGTCCCCCAGGGTGGGGTGGGCTTCTCCAGAGGGGGGAGGCTGGGAGGCAGGAGACCAGCCTCTCTGTGTGGCTGCCGTTGGGTCCCTGCCTCTTCTCCACTTATGTCCCCGTCATTGCGTGTCTGTGAGCCCAGAGGGTGGCGCTGCCTGGGTGATGTCCCCGGGTCACAGAGGGCCGTGCTCTCCCACAGGAAACAGAACAACTCCATAACACGCATCCACATGAACCTGCACGCCTCCGTGCTGCTCCTGAATGTCGCCTTCCTGCTGAGCCCCGCGCTGGCCGTGCCCCCCGTGCCCGAGTCAGCGTGCACAGCGTTGGCCGCCATCCTGCACTACGCGCTGCTCAGCTGCCTCACCTGGATGGCCATCGAAGGCTTCAACCTCTACCTTCTCCTGGGGCGCGTCTACAACGTCTACATCCGCCGATACCTGCTCAAGCTCTGCGCGGTGGGCTGGGGTAAGCACGGCCTCCCGCCCCTCTTGCTTCCTCAGGCTTTCAGCTGGACAGGGCGTCTGCCCCCTCCTGTCCTTCTCTTTCTCCTCCTCCTCATCGTGGTGACCACTGCCGTGACCACCAGTCATCATCCCTGCAAACTCCCGCCACCACTTCCTACATTACTGTTATCACCACTTCCACCTCCAACACCTCCATCATCAACACCTCCAATACTGCCATCACCTCCACCGTCTCTTCCTCCATCACCACCACCTCCAACACTGCCAGCACCTCCACCATCATCTCCACCTCATCTACCTCCAACACCACCACCACTCCCACCTCCATCACCACCATCACCTCCACCACCTCTACCTCCAACACCACCACCACCTCCATCACCACCACCACCATCACTTCTACCATCACCTCCACCACCCCTACCTCCATCACCACCACCTCCAACACCACCATCACCTCCACCACCTCTACCTCCAACACCACCCCCACCTCCATCAACACCACCTCCAATACCACCATCACCTCCACCACCTCTACCTCCAACACCCCCCCACCTCCACCTCCATCACCACCTCCACCACCACCATCACCTCCACCACCTCTATCTCCAACACCACCACCATCTCCACCTCCATCACCACCATCACCTCCACCACCTCTACCTCCAACACCAATACCACCCCCACCTCCATTACCACCACCTCCAACACCACCATCACCTCCATCACCTCTACCTCCAACACCACCATCACCTCCACCACCTCTACCTCCAACACCACCACCACCCCCACCTCCATCACCACCACCTCCAATACCACCATCACCTCTACCACCTCTACCTCCAACACCCCCCCCACCTCCACCTCCATCACCACCTCCACCACCACCATCACCTCCACCACCTCTACCTCCAACACCCCCCC